TTGAGCTCCTGAAAGCTCGCCTCACATCTGTCAGTCCATTCGAATTTCACAGACTTACTCGTCAGCTGGGAAAGAGGGAGGCCAATATTGGAAAAGCCCTCGATAAACCTGCGATAGTAACCAGCTAATCTGAGAAAACTGCGAACCTCGGACGGACTCCTCGGTGTCGACCAGTTCTGCACGGCTGAAACTTTAGAAGGATCCACCTCGATGCCTGCCTGGGTAATAACATGACCCAGAAAGGATACTCGCTCAAGCCAGAACTCGCACTTGGAGAATTTGGCGTACAACTTTTCTCGTCCGAGGGTTTCAAGAACCACCCTCAGATGTCTCATGCTCCTTCTGACTCTTCGAGTAGATGAGAATATCGTCAATAAAGACAATAACGAACTGATCGAGGTATGGATGAAAGATACGGTTCATGAGATCCATGAAAACTGCTGGCGCATTGCTGAGACCGAAAGGCATAACCACAAACTCGTAATGGCCGTAACGAGTTCTGAAAGCGGTCTTAGCGATGTCTGACTCCTTAATCTTCAGCTGGTGGTAGCCTGATCGTAAATCAATCTTTGAAAATACACAGGCTCCCCTCAACTGGTCAAATAAGTCGTCGATCCTGGGAAGCGGGTACTTATTCTTGATCGTCAACCGGTTAAGCTCCCGGTTGTCGATACACATGCGCATAGATCCGTCCTTCTTCTTAACAAAGAGAACGGGTGCTCCCCACGGTGACACACTCGGTCGGATAAAACCGAGTCGTAATAGCTCCTGAATCTGGGTCTTAAGCTCCTGTAACTCTTTAGGCGCCATGCGATATGGGGCTTTGGATACTGGAACGGCCCCTGGGATAAGATCAATAGAAAACTCCACCTGACGGTTGGGCGGTCCTCCTGGAAGCTCGTCTGGGAATACGTCAACAAACTCGCGAATGATTGGAACATCATGAGGTGTCCGCGCTTTCTGAGAATCCTCAACAAGGCTCACCAGGTAACCCTGGCAGTTGCCTCGTCGCAATAGCTTAGTGGCTTTCGCCATCGAAACAACATGAGGCAGTGAACGGTTCTTGGAGCCGAAGAAAGTAATCGACTCATCTCCCGGAAGATAGAGGGTTATCTCCCGGTCATGGCACCTGATGTCAGCATGATAGAAAGATAGCCAATCCATCCCGAGAATAAGATCGAAATCCTTCATCTCGAGAACAAACGCGTCGGCAGTCAATACTCGGCCACCGATGGAAAGGCTAAGATCTGAGGCTTTAGCTGAGGTTACTATCTTTCGTCCCGAGGCTAAACTCACCTCGAGAGGATCGACAGCGGTAACTGCGTGAACTCCGATGGCATCGAGACATCGGCGTGAAATGAAAGTGTGCGTCGCTCCAGTATCGAATAAAGCGAACACAGGAATATCATTGAGGACAACCATCCCTGACATTGTACCTGGTTGCTGTGCTGCCTCCGCCTGATCAACCGCGTAAACCCTGGCCTGCTGCCTGCCCCTCTGTTGCTGCTGCTGCTGAGGCGGCCTCTGTGCCTGCTGTCGTGGCTGCTG